GTGCCGCTCCTGTCCCGACTCTTGCGTCCACGGCCAGCCACCCGCAGTGTGTAGTGACAGCTGTCCTCCTCCGTGTCAAAGACTTTACTGTGGTTCATTGTAAAAAAACTTTGTACAATGAACTGCAGTAAAGTCTGTGACACGGAGAAGGGACAGCTGTATGTTTTCCGGCCAGGGATCGGCAAGGTGTGACTGCTTCTTGCTGGGTCCGCCGCGGTCGTACAATAAAAATGGTACGTCCTGGGCCGACCCCCCTGTCCATATGCCATTTTGGTACGTTCCTGCCCACGTGACGTGCAGGAAGGTTTTGTTTTTTTCTTGGGACGGCCGCGGAGCGGGCAACAGGAAAGGAGAAGCAAGCACAGTGTAGGGGCTGAGCGGCAGAGCCTGAGGCTGTTTGTCAATGCACTGGTAAGCCAGCAGAGGGCTGGGGGAGGGAACAGCAGCAGCTGACCTGAGTGAGTCTGGGACTGGCTTGGGGGAAAGCTGCAGGTGAGACTTGGTGTTCTGGGGCTGAGTTTTTATGGCCCACGCTGGGCACCAGCTGCTTGCTGCTACTGTGCTGATTCTGCAACAGTAACAGCAAGCAGCTGGTGCCCAAAACTGAATAATATGGGCCTGACGCTGGATTGGGGGAAGCCTTTGCAGAGATCAGTACTGTAGCAGCAATTAGCTGGCCTGGTGCCCAGGGATGAATAGGGGCCCAACGTGGGGGTGGGGAAAGTCTTTGCAGAGGACAGCTGCTGTCCGCTGCAAAGGCTTCCCCCACCTCAGCGTCGGGCCCCTATTCAGTCTTGGGCACCAGCTGCTTGCTGCTACTGTGCTTATTCTACAACAGTAGCAGCAAGCAGCTGGTCCCCAAAACTGAATGATAGGGGCCCGACGTTGAGGTGGGGTGGAGGGAAGTCTTTGCAGAGGACAAAGCATCCCTCTGTCTCCCATATCTAAAAAAAATTAAGCTTTTTGTAATATATGTTGGAATGCCCTGAGTCTGACTAAATACTCAAGTGCGAGTACCGATATTTTGCTTTTGGTACTCGCCGATACTGAATACCAATACCGGTGCTTCCACTGGCATGGAGCAGGCTTCCCGGGTAATCAGGAAGCCGGCAGCGGGTAATGACATGCCGCCCGGCTTCCTGATTGCCAGCGAAGCCGGCTGCATGTTGTTTGGCCGGCTTAATTGTAGTTGGCGGGGAAACCGTCTTAAATAAAATATTAACCATTCTGTAAGCAAAACTTAATTTTCTGGCATTCCGACCCAGGGAAGGACACAAACCAGCGTCCTCCCGTGACCCAAAGCTCAGTATACCACAAGCTACAGCTCGCGGTATACTGAGACCGCCGCAGCCTGGACGCATCCCGGCATTACTGTTGAGATCCACCCAGCTGCGTGATTGACAGCTGGCTCTGCCTATCTAGAGGCTGAGCCAGCTGTACCCACCCCCTCCCCCGTCCGTTCCGCCAGTCAGCGCTGGAGGATAGGACACGGGAGGACTGGAATCCCTGCAGGGAGCCGTGAGTGACAGTCACGGCTCTCTGCAGGGATAGATCGAGAAGTGAGCCGACGTGTGACAGTTTCATTGTCACAGGTCGGCTCGAACTATGAGGATGAGTGATTTTCACTCGCCTCATAGTTCTCCTTTAAGTATCTTTTTTTATAACCATGTGACCAAAATTTTCAAATTTCATTGGGCTAAACTAAAAATAACTTTTACTTTTTTGAAAATAAGTATCCTTGTCCTGGTGTGTTTGGCCTATGAAGTTAGGCTTAAGAATAAAAACTGGAAGCTGTGGTTGCTGACCTTTCCTTCTGAAAATACTAGTTGCCATGTGGTCAAGTTGCTATGCTGGTTTCAGTGCTATCTCTCTGGCCTGGCACAATTACACGGTTGTTAGAGACACCTAGAGGTTTATTCACAAAGGTGCCGAAGGCAGCCGAGTGAATAACCCACCCGAAGCATTATTATTGTACAGGATTTATATAGCGCCAACAGTTTGCGCAGCACTTTACAATATAAGGAAGACATTACAGTTACAATATCATTCAAGACAAGATGGTAAGGAGGGCCCGGCCCCTGAGGGCTTACAATCTAAAAGGGGAGGGGGAAGTGATACATGAGGAGGTCGCTGTGTGGGGATGAATTGTTTGAGAAATTGATATTTCAGTGGTTAGGTTGAGGTCGGATAAGCTTCCCTGAAGAGGTGAGCCGAACACTGTTCGGATATTCACTTCAGGCTTGTGCAGCTGATATCAGCTGTACATTGGCTTGCTTCTGTTCAGCCGAACATGCTCAGACTGAGCCGCAGTGAAGAAGGAGATCCAACATCTGGAATCGGCTGAGCCGAACCTTCGGCAGGCTACTTACTGCTGTTCGGCCTATTCCCATAGGGGCAGAGCGGCAGTGAGTGATTAGCCGAATGCTGCCGAGCCTCCGTGGTACCGAGCAGAATAGAAAAACAGTGAAAAAGTAGAAAACAAAAGTAGAAAAAAAATGTTTACAAATGTAAATAAATGAGAAATTTTACAAAATAAAAAAAATTTCACTAAAGTAAAAAAAAAATCAAAGATTATTGAAAAAAAATAAAAACAATTGGGCAAAGCTAGCAGTGACATCTAGCTCTGCCCAACTGTTTCCTATTGACCGGGACCTGCTAGAGTCTTCTAGCATGTCCCAGCCAATGAATAACAACTGGGCGGAGCTGGCCGTGACGTCACGGCTGGCTCCGCCAAGTTGTCATTGTTTAATGACAGTTCAGCATCCCCAGGTGTCATTGCAACTGGGCGGAGCCAGCCATGGGCCCAGCCATGAGCCCAGCTGTCAGCTGCGAGGCTAGCCACGATTCGGGTTTCACTTCGGCTCAGTCGAGCGGTAGTAAATGCCTTCGGCTCGGCTGAGCCGCTCGCCCAGCTTCGGGAGCTGTACGGGCTATAGTGAATATAGCTAGACGGAGCTACGGCTGATCCTTCGGCTAGCTTTGTGAATAACCCCCATATTATTTTCACAGGGTGTTCAACAATGGAAGCCTCTGTAGTTTTCTTAGGACAGGTTTCCTGTAAAGCCTTACTTCAGCCAAATCAATATACTTTGGTTTTGCCTAGCGTGAGGTAGCACTGTAATTACCCCCATTGGTATAAAAAAAAAAATGTTTACACTGGTTGGGGACAACTTTAAACTGCATTAGCACTGTCCATTAGAGGCCTTATGACCCCAGTGATGTAGTCCAGATACCATGCTTCTTCCATGCCTATTGCTTATTTGTTTGGATTGGCTGTTGACCTGGCTTTACAAATAGAATCTAGAGCTGCCTGGACCTTCTGTAGTTGACAATCCAAGGCAAGAATAAAAATGACAACATCATCTATCTATGCCAGGAAGGTGCACACGGAAGGGCTTTCCACTGTGCTAACAAAACAAAAAATTCCCAGCACACTTACCACCCAGTCGGAAAAAAAAAGAAGAAAACTACAAGGTACACTGTCTACATCACAATGACAGCTGAAGCCCCTTATCTTTGGAAGCTAGTTATCAATGAATTTCTGTGGTTGCCATATTTGTTTTGTTGGATTTGGTGCAGGGACACACTTGGGGCTTCAGCTGCCATTATGATGTGCTGGGCTTCTGCTGTGTCCCTGTGCCTTTAACCACTTGCTGACCGCGGTGTTACACCCCCATCCTGACCAGGCTATTTTTCAGTATTCAGCGCTGCGGTACTTTGACTGACATTTATTCCGTCATGCAACGCTGTACTGAAATTAATTTTGTACCATTTTTGGGGGACAGATAGAGCTTTCTTTTGGTGGTATTTAATCACCACTGAGGGTTTTTTTTTTTTTTACTGTATAATAAAAAAGTACCGATAATTTTGAAAAAAACCTGTTCTCACTACGTTATGTAATAAAAAAATTATTATTACCCAATTTTTTTTAAAAGATCGGGTCACGTCGGGTAAATAGACACCAAACATGTCAAGCTTTAAAATTGCACGCACCCGTTAAATCGCAAAAAACTACCATACTCAAAATTGACCATAGCCGACGCTTTAAAAGCTTTTACCGCTCATCAGTTTATTGTTATCAGTGATTGATGGCTCGAGAATTATTGCTCTCACTCCGACGTTCGCGGCGATATGCAACATGTGCGGGGACTTTCATTTTTTTTGTATTGCTTTGATATGTGATTTTTTTTAAACCTTTTTTTTTTTCACTAAACTTTATTGCTATCACATAGGGAGCAAGCAAGCTCCCTATGTGATAGCCAATTTGCAGTGACAGGTCCTCTTTATGGAGACATCAGGGGTCTTAAGACCCCTAATGTCACCTAGGGACCCACAGAGAAGCTGATGAAGCAGAGACCTGCTTCACCAGCTTCTCTCCGGTTTCTGTACCTGAGAGTGACACTGAAACGGATATTGTGACACCGAACGGATATTACAAGCGATTGGGCGTCCCTACAGATGCCCGAACGCTTGTATGTAAACAGCCATCGCTGGCTGTTTACATTCAAAGCCGGTTTCCCGCTCGTGCGCGCCGCCTAGCGGATAGGACGTCTAAAGACGCCCACCCACCCTCAAGAAGCCGCTGTCCAGCCGTTTAATTACAGCGGCCGGACAGCAGGTGGTTAAGGAGGCATGGACTACCTCCAGGCATACCTGCACTCAAGTTATCCTTTGCTATATATGCTCCAAGATGGAGGCTCTCATAGATTGGAGTTAGGACCGCACTATACAGAGGGGACTTTGACGAGGCAGTGCGGCTTCCACATATTTTGCAAAAGTTGTGCAACTAATGCCTCTGGTTTTAAGCAAAGGTTGGCTGGTAAGTGTGTTGGGATTTTTTTTGTTTGTAAAGCCCTTCCATGTGCATCTTACTTTGAAAGCTAGGTATAAATTAATTTGTGCTGTAAAGACTCCTTTTGGGCTAGGAGTATGTTCATAT